GGTTCACATAATTTGGAATCCCTATGTGCAGTATTCAAAGTAAATTGTACGTCTGGTTGACATAAATGAAAAATGTTTACTTGTAACATCAAAAGCCAATGGTTCATAATCCTTATTGGTTATACATTTTTTAGCAAATAATGCTCAACGGTATCAATCCGATTGTTCTTCCCTTTTGTTCTCTATTTTGCAATGTGCTAGTTTAGATGATTTATTGGTAAACACATGTTATAACTTTTGTTTACCTTTTTATTGTTATCTTGCAAATACTGTCATGGCAACCAATTAACCCATAAGGCCCATGTTAAATTTCTAAAAGTTTAAATTCACATATAGTCAGGTTGGGTAGCAGGAAAATATTTCAGTTCTGGCGGAGAGGCTGCAATTTTAGGTGGTTATAGTATACAAGTTTCTGAACCTAAAACCACCCAAACCCCAATTTTTAAGGACCTTGGTCGTCCGTAATGACGTCATCAAAATGGCGGCCGTTAGAGGATGCTGGGTCCCCATGAATTGGCTATAACGACCGAATGACTGAACCGATTTTCATGAAATTTGGCACACAAGTGCTTGAATACATTATCTCGGCCTGGGTTGAAAATGGTCAAGTTTCATCAAGTAATTTCAAAATGGCGGCTGTTCAAAACTAAAAAAAAATACGAGGAAAATAATTGTGAATTGTTTTATACAGGGTGAGTTTTAAATGAGTTCCCCCCCTACATTTTTATACATTTCTTAAGATATCAACTTTGAACCATGTCAGATCATTGTAGAGTAGCAAGTACTTTATTTTGACTGGGTTTAAATTTTTGGCCGCCATTTTGGATACAAAGTATTTTTTTTCAAATGTAAAGGTAGGGTTGTGACCCACCATTTCAAACAAGACTTTTACGCTGAACACAATGCTGCAATCCGTTTAAAAAAATGTTGATCCATTCTAAAGTTATGAGAACTTTTTATAACTTTATTTTTAGTCCATTATAACATTTTGCATTTAAAAAACTAAGGCCATAATCTCAAAATAATGCTAGATAAAGATAAGTGGACACCACCATTCATTGTTGACCTATTTTCACTCGGTTATGACGGATGTATTTTTTTCAGCCGCCATCTTGGATCCGCCATTTTGAAATGTGATAAATTATTTTAAATATGAAGGTGGTGTTGTGACCCATTATTTTGAACTACTTTTTTAAGTTGAATTCAATGCCGCAATCCGTTTTTCATTGTCATATTTGGTTTTTGAAATATGGACATTTTAAATCAAAATAATTGTTATATTTTATCAAGAAAGCTTGATAACAAAAAACGGATAAAATAAAACCCAGTCAAAATGAAGTACTCGCTACTCTACAATTATCTGACGTGGTTCGGAGTTGATATCTTAAAAAATGTTTTCCTCATATTTTTTTTAGGTTTGAACAGCCACCATTTTAAAATGACTTGATGAAACTTGACCATGTTCAACCCAGGCCGAGATAATGTATTCAAGCACTTGTGTGCCAAATTTCATGAAAATCGGTTCAGGCATTCGGTCATTATAGCCAATTCATGGGGACCCAGCATCCTCTTACGGCCGCCATTTTGATGACGTCATTACGGACGTCCGAGGTCCTTAAAAATTGGGGTCTGGGCGGTTTTAGGTTTAGAAACTTGTATACTATAACCACCTAAAATTGCAGCCTCTCTGCCAGAACTGAAATATTCTGCCATTATATGCAGCTATACGACCCCACTAATAGGGAAAAGCCCTGTGGTCCGATTTGTACCATTTCAGATTTATACCTTCCCATGGTTGGTTACTATGACTGTGCTAAATTTCATGCAGATCGCTTCAAACCGTTCAGGAGGAGTATTTGTAAAACAAAAGCAGGATTGTAGTATAAGAGCTTCACTCGCTTCGCTTCGCTCCGGTCAATAAACTTGTATGCCCCGATGTCAAGTAAGTACTATATTTCTTACTATATTTTATTACAAACTAAATCTAAAATATTAAAACAGGTTGTGGTCTGTTCTGGTCACGGCCGCCTTTAACTCCAGGCCACGGCCTTCGAACTGGCAACGTCGCAAGTGGTGTTGTAACAGCTGTTTTGTTTGGTAGCAGCTAATGGTATTTGTGTATTTACGAAATATTGGTTACTGGACTATGACAATATTGACTCCGCTTAAAAATGTACAGATATAGATTTTAATTCGTATTGTTTCGGTTTTCAATTCTGTATGTTTTATTTTCAATAGGTATTTTAATAAATTTATGTTCATAAATTTAAATTTAAACCAATAAAGTTAAATGAGCTATGAGTTAAATGATTAATGAGCTGATGTCACCTGGCTGCCATGTTATCTTATGGGACGTCTGTCACTGAACAACAGCACTTGCGATGTTGCCAATTCTACAGGCCGCGGCGGCCGTGGTTGTAACAGCTGTTTTGTTTGGAAGCAGCTAATAATGGGATCATTTGTATATTTACGAAAGATTGGTTACTGGACTATGAAAATATTGACTCCGCTTTAATTGTACAGATTTAAATTTTCAATTCATATTGTTTTGGTTTTCAATTCTGTATGTTTAATTTTCAATATTAATTTTAATACATTTATGTTCATAAATTTAAATTTAAATCAATAAAGTGCAAATTAATGAGCTGATGTCACCTGTCTGTCATATTATCTTATGGGACGTCTAACACTAAACAACCCTACTTGCAACGTTGCCAATTCTACCAGGCCATGGCCTGGAGTTAAAGGTGGCCGTGGTTTTGGCACTGCCATAGATAAAACCATAGATAAAACATACTCCTTCGGGAGTATGTTTTATCCGTGGTTCTGGTTCATAAATAGCATTAGGGCCATCCACATGTTACGTAACGAGTTTTTAGTTATTTTAATACGGCTCCCTCTCTCCCCCTGTGACGCTGCATAACGCTAGCCTAGATTATAGACTTACCAACACAAGTAGACTTCTCATCCCATTCATATATTAACTGTAAATAATTTTGAAGCTCGTTTTTCGTTTCTAGTTCATGTACGGTGACACTGATCCCTATAGTGTTGACAACATTTTGTTTCTATTAATTAAGGTTTAATTTCATGATTTGTGCTTTACTGTTTGGTTATACAGGGTGGCTGAAAAGTAACTTGCACCCCCACTTAACTTTACAAAAATTTGAGATATTTGAAATCGGTTTGCGGCAACCTTCTTAGATATGAAGGGCTACAATAACTATGGTCAATTTTGAAAATTTTGCCCTTAGGGGTAGCGGGGGTAGGGGGTAGCTCAACATTTTCAAATGACAAGTATAGTCGAGTTTAGTATCATTTTACAGGTCTTGACGAAACATAAACATTGACACAAAGAAAACCAAAATCGGCTCACTAATAACAAAATGGCGCCCTAAAACGTTTCAAATCCCAATAACCATGAGGGTGGCAAAAAATTAACTTGCACCCTCTTTAACTTTTTAACTATTTGAGATATTTGAAAACGGTTTGCGGCAACTTGTTGGGATATAAAGAGCTACAATAATTATGGTAAGTTTTGAAAATTTTGCCCTTAGGGGTAGTGGGGGTTGGGGGTAGCTCAAAATTTTCAAAAAGCAAGTACTGTATAGTCGAGTTATGTATCATTTTGTAGGTCTTGACGAAACATAACAATTAACATAAAGAAAATAGAAATTGGACCATTAATAACAAAATGGCAGCTCAAAACTACTTTAAATAACCATTGTCTCAATCATATTTCTATTTTCTCTTGCATATTCGTGATCTGCTTAATATTCCGGTTAATTTGAGTACCCACATGACGTGTTTTGATAAAAAAAAGTTTTTGGTCGTTTTGGTCGTTTTTCCGCGTTATGGTCGTTTTCCGCGGAAAAAGAACGTCATTTTCGGAATCAGCGTTAAATTTCGAGTAGAATGAAAAAAAAATTCAAAAATCGCGTGCAAACCCTAAAATGCATATTAACCTAAATGTATCTCCCTTATTCGATAGAATTTAACAATATTCACTTTTACAATATTTACTTATTATAGGCATAGATAAAAGTATACTCCCTAAGTAGATTTCTCATCCTTATGGAACAGCTGAAGCCAATTTTGTTGTTAGTTCTGTCCGGTGCACTGTGATTTGTTTAAATTTTTTTCTTGTTATTTCAGTAATTTAAAACCACGTTTAACCATATAAAACAATCTAAATCATAAACAATAACTCGTCCTCTAGTTATATATAACCAAACAGTAAAGCACAAATCATGAAATTATCCCTAAAATAATATAAACAAAATGTCGTCGTCATTAGTTAACATTAACTAGACACGAAAAACGAGCTTTAAAATTTACAATGGGGGTTAGTCTACAGTATGTTGTAGGTTGTAGCGTGGATAAAGCATCGTTATAGCATAGACGAACCAGATATCTCATTGTGTGTGTGAGAGAGAGAGAGAGCATATTGCAAAATCCCCACTTGGCCACAACAATACAACAATACAAATTAATAAATGTAAATATTCCCTTCTTTAAACTGTGCTTTTACCTTATTCATATAGTTTTTGTGTAGCAATTTAATTCTTTCCTTATCTTATTTTGTTTCATTCAATTAACTACTTTTTTGTGCATATCTAACCTTAACCCCTTTAATTTGAATTTAAATGGTGTATGCTCACACAAACTATTATTTGAAGAAGCTATCTTTTCATCAGATGAATCGTCTGGCCATACTCACATAGCCTACTCTACCAGACCTTCAAATCAGAACCTCATGTGTGGTAATAGATTAAACTTAACAACCAACTTTATTAAAACCAAAAGTCCATAACATTATTTTGTTGTAACCAACAATTAAATTCATTATCCCTTCATACAGTCCACTCTATTAGCAAAAAGCCAACATAATGTTTTGACAAGTACAGTATTCGTTTTACTTGTTTTCTTCATGAACCAGTCGCTGGTCTGTCGTGGATGGCCTAAGTAAGCGGGGATCAGTAGAACAAACAAAAAGCATAGAAAGTGTAAAAATTTACATTTTATTTACAAAATTTACTTAGTAAATTACAATAAAACAGACTTAAGACAATATTTTTAAAAACGAATACTGAATCCCCGGAAATCCTGTCGTGCTAAGTACTCAAAGTTGCTTAGGTCACAACGATCAATTACACTACCAGGACTGCCTGTCTTGGACAACCATGCCACCCTGAAACATAACATCTTGGGTAAGAAAATGAAACTATGACTTTAAACACTACAACTTTCAGCTTTATTTTCCTACAGTACCCGACAAAGTGGGCTTCCTTGCATAGATTATAGTACAGTAGTACTTTGGCACACACATTTTACTTTGGCGCACCGTTTTTACTTTGGCGCACACCAGTATTCCAACCAAACTACACAAAACAGCGTGCTTTTATTATGCACGTAATCCGTGTACGCTTGAAAATAAGTTGGCAACACAAGATATTAAGACTACGATCAGCTGGTGCAGCTTTTGCCATTTCGTTCAATGTTTGGATTTAACCTAACCTAAAAACGTGCTGTACAGTCTTTGAAAGACTAATTATATAATATATGATTACTTCGCCCACTAGTTACACAAATAACTATTCCTTGTCCATTGGAACTTTTGGCCGTCTTTGGGATGAATTTGTTCCTATATTGTATGTATGTAAGAAGGGGGCAAGTCTGCACTTAACTATAAGTCCTACACTCATTCGAATGAAACAACCGAATGAAAATATTGATTTATCGATTGTTTCATTCGATATATCGTTTGGTTAGTTAGGTTAGGTTAACCTTACCTAACTATTCAAATGATATATCGAATAATCGATATATCGATCGATATTTTCATTCGAATGAGTGTAGGACGTAAAGTGCAGCCGGGGACCCCTATGCTTACTAACCGTAGGTGAGTATCGTACAGATTCCGTGGATATAGAGCCCACCGAGGATGCTGTTAGAACATATGCTATGTTCAGTGTAATAGCTTTGTCATGTGCTGATCAGAGGAATATTACGAAGCAGGATCCGAGGGTTCAGATTTAGCTACGAATAACACTCCATTGTGGGTGGACCAACGAATATTTAACAGAAACAAACATTATGGATCATAAACATAAACACATGACGTCACAGGCTAGAAAGTATACTTGTTATTATTTCAATGGAACTATAAAAGAACGTGCAAACCATATGAAAGACTACGGCTATTAGTATAGACATTCGGCTCAGTGACGTAACTTTGTTAACGTTAATGATCCATCCCGTTTCTGTTATAATATTCGTGGCTGTCAATGGTTAAAGGTGCATTATGGTTTGTGAAACAGAGATCAAATCTGTTCTGATCAATCTGTTTGGAGCATATCGGAGATTCATATTTTAATAAGGCACTTTTATAAGAAGTATAGTTAGTCGAAAAAAATCAGACGTAAATCGTTCAAGTGATTGGGTGAGCGACGATTGGTTGTTTTATAAATACTAGAGGTCGTCCAGTGGTCAAAAACTCGACCAAAAATATGTAATGTAGAGACTTCTCTATTTTCAACCTACGCTGTAAATAAAACATGTGGTTGGAATTTATTTAATTTGTTTTGATTTCTGTTTATATTGCGTTGTTATTTCGTCACCAGCATGGCAACCCTTACGGTCCATGCTAATTTTTTAAAACTTTAAATCCATTTTTTATCCTTATTTTAAGCCTATTTTAATTTATGAAGGGACTCTGCACATCTAGAGGAAAATATCTTTTCAACAGTATGCGTAGATTTTTCCTGCGATGCACACGAGCTGAGAAAAAAAGTTTTAAAGAAACATGCTTGCCTATAGATGGAATGGATGTACATGGTTTGACTTCCCTAAGTATTTAGCGTTGTTCTTGTGATTGCTGTGGGAGGTTTTCAAACACTTTCACATTGGGAAGACTGTTCACATTGGGGAGCTCGAAATTTAACTATTAATTCAATTTTTGATCGCCCAGAACAATATTGCATGACAACAGAGAAGTTGCCAAGCCCAAGCCGAGTCTGGCAGGACGACAACAATGCCGGGTCGGCCTACTAGAATAGACCTGCCACTGACTGCTGCTTGCAAGTCCATTGTGCCATTGCCGTAGGCCTACAGGGAATGATGAGCTCAGATGATAACGGTATTTTAAAAGAGTCCAGTAAATAAAATGGGCAAAGCGGTAGTGGCTAGAAGCTATTCTTAAAAGGTTTTAGTCTGTAGATAACTGACGATTGATTATATGAAATCACCGACTGCCGAACTTAAGTCCGGCTTCGTTTGCATTGCATTGAATGCAAAGTCATAAACTGTAAGTTAGACTATTGGGTGGTAAAATATGATTTCCCTGTGGGAAGGTGATTAAGCAATCTTCAGTGGATTTAATATTTAAATCCCCCATCGAACCTTTGAATCTTCGGTTGTTAACCTATGACTATCTTTTAGAAAACCATGGTTAATATATTTAGTACTCTGCCTTTAACCTCTTGAACTTCAGGGACGGATGATTGATAATTGACGGTTCATCAAGCTATTTACACGTTACACATTTTTACCAAATTTCCCTTATCCTGTAACCCCAACAACCAAAATCTTAAACGGGGTAATGATTAGTACCCCTATACCATTGTAAATTAAATCAATCTAATCGCTGTCATGTATTTATGTCACCAGAATTTTCAAGAATAAAAATTTTGTTAGCTTCTTTTAGTGGGATATTGAAAACAATAACTGAGCTTTCATATATTGAGATTATATACAGTTAAGCTAAATTAATCTAATCTATACAGTTCTAATCTATTTCACTGATCTAAACTAGTGTTTAACTCATTACTCTCCTTAAATGCAAATTAACACCTCATTTAGGTATCGCAGACATAGTTAAAGCACTATCACTATGCTGATTACTAGAGTTTTACGTTGACACGGTTGTAATTTAACATTATGTTGACTGACTTTTCACAAGAATATCCCAAAACGTACTATGTAAGCCTTTTGGTAAAAAATTGGTGTTAAAAACATTTTTGAATGATTAAAATGTTTATTAAAAATCACAGAACATAATAATGCAATAGAAAAGAGATAAGGTTAAAAATATTTCACTTCACCCTATTTGTAAGAGAATGCTCCAATTGTTCATATTATCACATTGTCACATGCTGTCTATCACCATACAATGTAAGAAATGTAAAAAATTATGGACACAATTACGCAATATGCTAGTATAATCACTATAGTCTGTGAGATGGAACCTGTCTCCTGTCCCTCCGTCTATCTGAGGACTGGCCAATGGTTTTAGGCCCGAGCCAGTCCCAGGTAGACAGGTTCCAACATACAGACCATAGTAGTACGGAGTCTGTACAAGTGTACAGTTCTCGCAGCATTCCCATTGTAATTTGAGGAACAGAGAGAATGATGTGGCTTGAGTAGGGGAGGCTACTGTCAAGAACCTAACCCAGAGTCCAGACAGGGTCTACTAAGCTTTTCAACTTCCAAGTTGAATATCTACATCACCATCCTGTTTGAACTAAGAGTGTGTTGTGTGTTGACCCAATGCGGATCACGGTGCATTTCTCAAAATTCGAGTTTGGCCGTGCTTCATTCATCACATACTTATTCTTCCTAGATCTATGTGTACAGCATCAAACGCTCTATGAGCTGATTGAGGACGAAAAATGCAATAGCAGTCATCTGTATGTATGCACATTACAGCGAAGTACAGTGCACAAAGTGGTAGTGTAGACAACATTCCAAACAACTCCTTGTGTACATATCGACTCTTATGTGTATTTAAATATATATCTGTATATATATACTAGCATTGAATATATACCTGGAAACTCACCTCACAATATTCATTTTAGGCTAGGCCTATTCTATGTGGAATAACAGAGCGATATATAAAATAACAAAAGGTATTTTATTGAAACAAATGAACAAACATGCAATGCAATTTAAAAGGATAAGTTACGTTATAATGAAAGGACTGACATTCGAGTGTGGGCTGAAATTAAAATAAAATCCTACTAATATTATAAATGAGAAAGTTTGGATGCATGGATGGATGTATGGATGTATGTTTGTGACAAGTGAACGCGAAAAATACTGGTCGGATTGGGCTGAAATTTGGCATGATGATAGCTCACATTCCCGATTAACATATAGGCATATTCTTATTTCAAAAATCCTTTCGGGCTCCGCCCCAGTGGCTCTGGAGTTTCCCATGTTAACCTTATGAGAAATGGAATTATTGAATCTTAACAGCTGTTTCAATTAAACAAGTTGGTTCTGTTCTATGATGTTCAATAGCATTAAAGTTACAAGGATTACCAACAGGGTGCAGCACTATTATTTCTTTTACATTTATGACAACAGCTAATTTGCAACCAAAAGGTGAGTGAGCGTAGCGAACGAACTTCAACCTGGAGGCGAGTTAGCGTAGCGAACGAGCTAACCTGAAGGCAAGTGAGCGCAGCGAACGAGCTCCAGCCTAAAGGTGACTGAGCGTAGCGAACAAACTTCAACCAGGACATGATTGAGCCATGCGAACGAGATAATCTTGAAAATTAAGAAGTTAAACGGGGCAAAGCCCGCGGGTCACAGCTAGTAGAAGATAAGTTTTAAATCAAGGTTCAAATTTGAAATAAGTTAGTATAATTTAGATGTGCTATATCTCAGGGTAGGGTGTCGTGCTGGCTTGAATGCTAAGAATTAATAAATTAAATAGTGTCCAAATAATTAATGTGTTAAACTTACAAAATCCCAACAATGAAAATTAAATTTTGAGGTTGTCCAAAAGGTAAGTCCAATGTGCACTGAATTTAAGTGAGTTTAAAAGAAAAGTGTATACTTAATTTTGAAAAATAATGTTGGAGTTAGTCCTCTTGAGGTTGACTGTAATATAACTTGAATATAAACTGGGTTTTCTTGATGAAATTAATTAATTTAACTCAGATAAAATCTAGAATCCTTCTTTTAACAGTTTCAACTTTCAACTATGGCTTCCCTTCTCTCTCAGTCTTCTCCAATTTGGATGTTTACATGGGACGTCTATTGCTGAACACATGGATCACTGCTTACTTGAATTTTGATTCCTTAAGGACTAATTTTGAAATTATATTATAAGAAATTTTTATGTATCGCAATTCTCTTACATTTTTAACAAATAACTAAGTTGTGGGCTTTGCAAAAAAAATATAGGCTATGGAATGAATATTATTAATGATTAATTGAACATAGATTAATGGAATTGTATAAATAACTTTAATGAATACTAGGCCAGCCTTTCTGAGGAGTGATTAATAGCAAAGGTGGATGAACAAAAGTTAACATATTTTAAGAAACTTAATACTAAATAATGAATGAATGAAATGAAATATTACATACCTAAGTGAAATAAAAAAACGAATAAAATAAAAATGCAACAAGTGTCATGAAAATGAATACAAACGCTACAAAAACATCCTGGATTAACCAACAATAAGAATAATTGTCCACTCAATTGGATTTGTTTCAAACCAGAAACAATATTGGACGGAAGTGAAAGCCTTTGAGCAATCTGTGTAATAATTTGGCATTATACTTGTTTACACTTGCTCTTTGTTCTTCAAAGTTACTGGCCCACCTTTTGTTGTCGTGTGATATTTACTAATAACAGTTATTATGCCAGATGTCCAAGCAGGGGTGCCAATTGTTACAAAAAAATTGGCGCCTTTTTCAGTCAGGGTCGCCAACATTGTACGTTGCTTCATACACCATTGATCGAAGGGGTTACTACACCTTTAGCCAAAACACGTGTTTGAGTTTGTAGATTATAAAGTGTATTGAATTTATATATATATTTTAATTCAAAGGCTGGGAACAGTTTGCATAATCAATTAAACGTCGCGTTTAAAATGTATTACAGTATTATAGTTACATTGTAGAGTGTATAAATGGAGTAGGCGTACCTATAATAATAAGCGTAGTAAGCACATTTAGGTTGTAATTAATCACTTATTTGGGCACATAACTGTTTCATACTCTTGAAATAGTATGTCAAAATAAGGCCTACGTCTTAATATTACACTTTCCCTACAGTGTAATTCGGTCCAATCTAAATAATAGTGTTAATGTGCCTTGGTCTGTTCTAGGTTCAGGAATATTTGATTTAGCTAATTATTTCTCTCATGGTTTTTGTTGTTGTTCTTGTTGTTGTTATCTTTGTGTTTTTTAATAAGTGTGAATAAAAACGTAAAGTTTTTCTTATTTTAGTTTTATTATCCATTGGAGAAGAGATAGTTGAGTATAATTAACAATTATATTATGTTTAATCTATGATTGTCTATACTTATAAAAGACAAATACCATATAATTATAGTAGTTATCCAGAAAGAATATGTGTCAGTTGAAATATTAAATAGGAATTTATTTTTTTTTATCTACAACCTATGCATCCTTTTTATGATTAGTTAAAGAACTCATGGGTCTCTTGAAATAGCAACAAGTGTGCTGAGTTATGGTTTCTATAATTAGTAAAATGGTGATGATGTTTTAAACTATTCATTGAGCTAATAAGAATTGTTTTATTGATTTTTATCCATCATACCGAAAAAAATTTAACTGCAATTTGTTTTGACACTGTCTATTATGAGCAACGTTTTCCATTGTTAATATTACCTGATGTTTGGATTGGAAAAAAGAAACAGAGAGAAGAATTTGGAAAAGTTTGAACTTAAATGGGGTTTATGTTAATCCAGAGCAATTTGTTATAATTTCAGTTTTTTTTTTTTTTTTTTTGACAGCGGCGAAGCGTATACGTGAAAAATCAGCAAGTATTACCTAATGAAACTACACTTGTCAATAATTTTAATCAGCTTGTGTCAGCTAGGCGAAAGTTGTAATGGCAAAACTTGTGTTGAATGATGACACTTCAAATGTAAAAGACAAAACCAGAAAATTCGTGTAGCTACCGATTTCTTATACTTACATCTCCTCAATGTTCGGTTTGGTGCCCTGCAGTTTGCCAACAATAGTTCCTCTTTTGCTGTTTTTCACCCATCCGCCGATGCCCAAGTCGGTACATTTTTCTTTGCAGTACTTAGTGAAGTATCGGCCTAAAACAAATGAAGAAGATTGAAAATAACTAGTATATGTATACATGTTTTTGAATGATCTTTGTCAACAAATTACTCACATAATCTAAACAACGGTCAGATAAAAAGTAGTTCCTATACTCCCTTCCCTCGCCAAGACCATGGAAAATTTATTGACGAAGACTATCAGCTGATGTTTACTGATCCAACATCAGACAAAACAATGAAGTACATATTCTGTGTTGAGCTGTTTTACTATACACTAGAGGTCATCCAGTGGTTGAAAACTCGACCAAAACATATGACATGTACAGACTTCTCTATTTTCACCCCACGCTGTAAATGAAACATAATGAATTTCTTCCATTTGTTTTGATTTTCTGTTTATATTTCTTTGTTATTTCGTCACCAGCAAGGCAACGCCCATAAATAAGGCTCTTGTTATTTAAAACTTTTACTTTAAAACCTTTTTTTATTTTTTAAAAGTTTATATTCATTTTTTTGTGTTTAATTTTCATCCTATTTTAAATTATAAAGAGATTTTGCACGTCTACAGGAAATTATCTTTATAATATTATGCGGATATTTTCCCTGCGATGCACACGAGCTGAAAAAAAGGTTTTAAAAAACATGTATTTAATACATCTACTCCAGAAAGTAATTATTTTTTTCAATTAAAAATTTCTAGTAAAATTAATAAATACAATTTAAAGAATAGATACACGATTATTTAGGTTTATGATTTTACGGAAAATGCATAGGACCACTTCTCCCTCTATTTAAACTGTAACCCGATTAATTTACTACAGTATTCAGAATTTAAATTAAAGCTGAAGCCATTGATTTTTCAAAGCGTAAGCTTAAATGTGAAATTGCTATACATAGTTTGAAATGTTCAAATATACTATGGATACATACGCAAATGACATATATGAAGTTTAAAAATTGCTGTTATTTTATATACGAATATAGCATAGCATATTTTCAGCTAAGCATGTCAGTTATTTATACATCTAGCTTCACCCAACTCAGTGATTTTGCCATCCAACAATCAAAGAGACAAGTCAATAACCCCAAAAGTATTTCTAAAACTAATTATCATAAACCTACCTGAACCAAAAGTGAATTTCAGATAAAAAGTGTTACAACGTTTGCAAAGCTTGCAAAACTAACTTGTTAAATTGTTTTATTATATTTATTGGAAAATAGGTTATACAAATATTACGGCCAGATTAGAGGTCTAAAATATAAGTAATATTAATTTCACTGGGAATCTTAATGAATTTTCAAACTACCTTACCTGAATTAGGTTTCATTAGGTTGCATTAAGTTGTTTAAATATTCACCTACCGTAGACTACAAGCAATTATTTATTTTATAACCATTTTTTTAAATACTGTACTTAATTAGAATATAACAATTACCAAATTTCTCGTATAAACTCCGGTTAGCCATTGCTAGATTCCAACTATACCACCTAACTATGATTAAAGTTCACTTCCGAACCATTTATATGAGTTATGTCTCTTTCCAAAAGTTTCATACCAAAAAGTTCGAAAATTTAGACATTATCAATCCTACTGGTTTAAATAAAATAACAGCGTATATTTTTTGGCAATACAATCTTGATCACTTTTAAAAACTATCGTATTTAGATCCGTAAGACGTCGCAGGTGCAATTAAGGAATTTGGCACACAAGTCATCCTTACCTTGAACTTCACCGAAGACCTCGAACTCCAAAGAGACGATTTGGCCGTCCGGCCCCATAGCGTCGCCGATCACTGATACACTGATACTGGGGACAGCGTCGCGGCGCCCAGGACGACAACACTGTGACGTCACCTGGCGTCCCCTCCCCCTTCAGAATCAACATGTGTATGGCATATACTGGTCGTTTCAAAGTAGTAATAAATGCATTAAAAAATATTGGGCCCTCTATGCCGAGTCGGCCGCCTCTTCTTCCCGACCGATTTTCACATTTTTGGTCTTAAATTAAATGTATGCACCCACAGATTTGCCAGTAAGCATAATCACTCATTTATCTACTGTATTACTCAACCAAATACCTTATTCAACATAAATACAACTTACAACTACATTTAAGTTTATTCGTAAACAAACTATTGTAGCACTCTATCAACATAAATAACAGTAGAGAGCTCGCCCCGTGGTCGAAAACTCGACCAAAAGTATGTATTGTGTAAACCTCTCTATTTTCATTCAACCCACGCTGTAAATAAAACATGTGGACCAACATGGCAACCCTAAAGCCCATGTTAATTTTTTAAAATCTAAAATTTACAATTTTGATTTAAAAATATCGCTTAGAGAATTAATAAAAGATGGAAACAAAATTAGATACAACATTTCAGCCTAATTATCCGGAGTGAGGGCTTTAACTTTTATATTCTGTATTTAGATCATATTCCCAAGGAAATGAAAACCGACGGAGATTAACTTATTGCAACACAAGTATAATCTATTATACTGTACATACAGCTTTGGCTGAATAAAAGTAAATCTACAATGAACAACTCTACTAGCTGGTATTCTGCCAACTATCCTGTTACTTTTAGCTCCACACCTGAAATGTTTACGGTAAATTACTTGAGTAGCTGAATGCAACGCTATGTTTTGAATGTGGTGCAGTATTTTAGTTGAATTTACGGCTTCATGCAAAGAAAAAAAAACATCAGCAAACTTTTGAGGTTGGACTAAATAATTACTACAGTACTACAATTCTAACCTTAACCAACTGAGTGAGGTTTTCCATTTAACACTCCTAAAATACTAATACTAGTACGGCACCTTATTCATAGTTAATTAGTAAATAGCTCATTCTATCTTTGAAAGTCTGCCTGGCTATGTAATACCGTATTCACTACTAATATTTATTTTTTCACAACATTTATATTATTGCTTCCGTCAACAACCTACGTACCATTAACAAATACTAGAGCATACGTTGTTGTAGTATATAATTGTTCAATTAATTATGTGCCACTCAACGCTACTTTGACATACTAAATGTTCCTGATAAATAAATTTGTTCATGGACATTTCATTACAGGTAAATTTTATCGTATTTATTTTACACAGCGTTTATCCTTTGCAATTTTTGGTCCTTCGAACCGGATTCATCTCAGCCAAATTGCATAATTATTCGTGAGCTCATCAAATTAATCTTTGAGCTATTTTTCCTCTACACATTTTCCCCGTGTTCACAATTTTCCCGGTTTTCCTGTCCCCACTTGTTCTTGGCGAGGTGTTTCCTCGGTTTCCTGATATCCGGTTTCCTGGTCTCACGCCCCCCCTCCCCTGGACCCATGATTGACCTGTCCGGTCGCCAATCGTTGCTTTGTTCTCTTGTTACCGACAATTGCATAGCGACATAGCGTGTTTTCGCCAGCCTCGCCGTACAAAATACTCCACCGTTATTTGATAAAAATGTTGCGAGAGAAAAATAGAATGTTCTGCCAGTGAAGGTTGTTAGCTATGTACCATCATGTGTCTGAAAGGTTCACAAATCGTTCTGATAATGTTTTGTAAAATGTTAAAATTCTTTCTTTTGTTTTGAATTGCAGTATCTGACTTTCAGGGTGTTAAAAGAAAAGAAGAAGGTAGCTACATTTGAAGAATAATCGCAGAATAAGCCTTCTGCCTATCCTTCTGTGTATGACACGTCGCTTTTAATTTTAGATGGGTAGAAAAATTGCTTGAAGCCTCACAAAGAATTAAGAATTTTAAGCTGTTAGAAATTTTTACATAAATATAAACATCAATACAATAGAGGAGAAAATAAATTATCTAGCAATTTTACATACAAATATAGTATATATATAAACTTAATTAAAATCGTCTTATGACAATCAATCAAACCGTTTCGTGATAATTTGCAAGAAGGAGAATTGCTATAAACAAGCGTTCATTGATAGCTTGATCTTATATAGACATGAAAAAACTGAGAAACATGACACCGAGATTGATTTTTAAAAGATTCACACAAATATAATCATGATATAAACTGTTTATATTTTAGGTCAAGTAGTCCGGAAGGGAAACCGGGGCTGGTCCGGGGCGTATACCGGGGCTGAATTCTGGCCCTTTCAGATTTTTTAAGTCTCATGGAAAACAAAGAAGGTTTTTCACAAAATCATAGCAATTTAGAAGTATGTAGTAGTGAAAGAAGAATGGTGAAGTAGAACGAGCCAATAAAATGCTGTATAGAAACATTATTTCAGACAATTATCATAGAAAAGTATTAGTATCAATACTCTTAACCAATGGTAGATTACTATTGGTTAAATGTAAGGATCACGAACTTCTGACAAAAACCGTAGCCGCACACCTATCAACCGCATACTTGACTGAAAAGTCATCTCCCCTGTAAAATATAAGTTGTTCGATAAACCCACTCTTATGGGCACATACCTTAAATAAATGGGTTTCTATATCCGTACTTTCGTACTTCACAACGAAGTGAAGACACAGAAGTCTTATCAAATTACGAGTATTTGTCAAAGTGTATATAAATTTATCTGAAAGCGCAGAAATACGTAAAATAACACCTGTAACAATATATTTACACTTATACTGTTTACTCACAAGACGGTAAATACATATAAGATTTACCATTTCGCCTATTGGGTCTGATTATGATTGGAGAGTACAATGAAAATCGATCACCACTTACCATCTTGTATATGTATTTACCGTCTTGTGAGTAAACAGTATAAGTGTAAATATATTATTACAAGTGTTGACATATTTTTGTGCTTTCAGGTAACTTAATAACACTGATAAATTAAATGAATTTTTGATGCTAATAAAGAAGTTATAAATTCATCTATATAAATAAAATTACAGTTTTGTCTGTACATTGCTTAGAATCATGCAGCTTTTGGTTATTTTTACGTTTCGTAGCCTAAGAAAGCCGAAACGAGTCTTATCTCAATTTCTGTCTGTATGTCTGTCTGTTTGTCCATTCTGTGACTTCGTCTGTAACGACAAAATGTCATTTTACGCGGCCTACTCCTAGAAAACTAGAGTACCGATCAAGGTTCTAATCATTTGTTTGTATTTACTGGATTGGTAAGAGTGTCTTTGGCTATACAAACATGGCCTCGCTTCTTTGAAAACAAAATAACGAACCACCAAAAACCCAATTTCGTTTGATATTTGTCAAATTTTCTCCCAATGTTTACTATTACATTTTATGAAATAACGATCAGCTGTTTGGATTAGTTCTCACTTCTAGCTGTCACTGATATGTTTACATTAAAAGTTTTTTACAAATACCGCAACCATTTCCGATCAAGTTTAGTCAGCACATCCAAACCAAGTGAGATTAAAAACGTGCCTTACTTAACCGGTTTAACTAATCGCAAGTGCAACGATTGTTCTTGAGTTTTGATAACCGGGGAAAATACCGTGAATCAGTGTTGTATTAGTGCAAGGAAACTTACATTTTTTTTATCATCGCCACCAATACCGTAGCTTACAAAGGTTTCCACTCATTGACGGCGCTTCAACGACAGTTGTGTAAAGTGCAAAGTAAAAAATCACAACTGCAGTAGGTGATCGTGGATGTTGCTGCGATCTTGGAAGGTCTTTCTGATTTCGCTGTGATCGTACCGTAACGGAGGTTTAACTAAACAGATGTAGCTAAACTCGCTTTTCCAATATGTCACTTTTGGTTTCTACTTACTTACATTTGACAGTTTGAATTAGTCGTAAGTACTACAGTTCTTTTCTCAAATGTAAACGTTGGTTGTTGGTACTGCTACTTTTCCTTAGAACCGGTGGTAGCAGTAAGAATCATTTTTACATACAAACACATCACTATTTTCACTATTTATTTATAAACACTGCACCTTATTGCTTATTAAATTTAATTGATGTCTTACTGTATAATTTTTAGCGTTTTCTGTCTGGACTCCAAAATGTTGTGTGGACTCAATTCTGTACCTATTTGTGTGTGTATGTCTATTGGTAACGCATTAATGTCCTTATTTTTCGTGGAAAAGACAAGAGCACCATTGTTAATAAAAATTTCAACCCGAATAAAGTGTGCAGTAGTGAGGTTGAGGTAGTGTTTTAACTACTTTTAACCAGTGTGAAAAGTAACTTTAAATTACAGGCCTACCTTAGGGCTATGCCTCATAGGTCTATACTGTAAAGCAATTCCTTTCATCGTTTGATATAAAATATGGACTAACACGATCGGGTGACATTTAATTGCGAAGCATTCGTTTTGGCTTTGAAACGGTCAGATATTGTATTTGAGAAGGTTTTTATGAATTCCTAAACATTTATAGTTTTGCGATCATATCTGGAAAAATGCACACTAAATATGCAAACAAACTCCTGTTTTGAATATAAGGTTTTAACTTACTACTAGATTCCCGTACGTAGAACGGGCAAACAGCTAGTCATTACTTAAAATCAATCATTTAGTGTAACAGGATACAATATAAATTGTAAACCAAGTAAATTGTAAATAGTGCGAATGTTAGTGTGTTGATAGATGAATACTACCTTGGAACTATGGAAGCCCGCGAGGCGTAGCCCGAGAACATTCGTCAGGCCACAGAGAAGTAAGACGCATCTTTCTTCTCAGTGGTTAGGCTAAGGTCTTGGACAGGATCATGACTATCTTAGTGTACAGTTTCGGTGTAGTCAATTCAATTCAGTAGTGTTTCAGTTTACTCGTAACAAACATAATTATATACCTACTTAGAAAAACACAAATAGATAATTACCTCAACTTCAATATTGAAGATGTCCAATGTAGTTATAATCATCATAATTACTTTCGAGATGTCAGTATTATTGTAATCAGAACAACTTAATATTTGTTTTATGTTAGGGGTTTCGATTATTGACCAGGTAAGTTAAAGACATACTGTAGCATTCTGATATTTAGTTATCGTTGTAGTTACCATTGTCGTAATATGACCTGGAATAATTTTGAATTTCAACCCTACTACTATATCATGGCTGTCTTTTCACAACCTATATTATAAGACATTTTAATAGTTTGCTACCCAAATAAACCATTATACTATTGGCCAGCTTTACAAACGAGAATACTCTTTAAAAGTGAATTGAAATAAATTAACGAACGACAAGCCATCTTCTGAGCCGATGCCAGCAGGGATCTCATTGTTCCAAAATAGCATACCCGTTTCACCACTCTAGATTAACTAAGTTGATATCAAATTTGACAATCTTTTTAAGTTGTTGTGTAGTTTAAGAGTCTTCATCAGTGGTAGCCATATTGGATTTTAGTCCCATAAGAGCAATGTTAAATTTGACAGAACAAACCATCATTTGAAGCAGCATGCCGGTGTTATTTATTAAGATATAGTTTGAAAATTTATTATTAGGTCTATAACTTAGAGTACTAGGGAATGAGGAAATGATATTTCAAATAGTTTATTAGTTTTTTGTCTTTTCTTAATAAATAATTTAATTAAAGGCTTAATTAATTATCATTAATTGTTATTAAGTAGAGGAAAATTTACAAAACTAAAATCTTCAATCTCTAGAGGACCACTAAACCTTAATTTTAACACCTCCATCATATTTTATCACAACAGGTTTTTTAGAAATTCTGTTACAAAGTTAACATTGCTCTTATGGGACTAAAATCCAATATGGCTACCACTGATGAAGACTCTTAATTGGGAAAACTAAATTATTTATTTGAGTTCATCAACGTAAACACGTACTACGTACTTCTTTTGTCATCAACCCACTATTGGTATTTACTGTATCACGATTATAACTAGTAACTTACTACAAGTAGTAAGTAAGGTTTACTACCATCGTAACTCCCTTATTAAAAGTGATAGTAAAAAACGTGACGAAAACAGGTCTTGAATTTTTCGACTCTGCAACCTTACCTTTACCTTTTCAAGGTATTATTGGTTTGGTCAAATTATTAGATAAATAGATTTGAAGATTGATGCTTCGAAACTAACTAGTTGCAAATTATGTGCAAATTAATAGTGGATTTACGACGAAAAAGTATAAAATACAAATATTCTTTTGGTAAAACGATGCTAATCTCTAAACAGTAAAATCAACGATTACTAAAACCTGTTGATCGAGAAAAATCTTTGATAAGAAAAAATGTAAGGATTATTTATATTTATATTCTAATGTAAAACTATCACCGTGTTAACGATTTCAATAAGTTGGATAGAAAATAATAAATTCGCCTTGTACCTTGTAGATATTTTTTTGACCGACTGCATGCCAATTTTCACAAAAAGGTAATACATTAAAAATGCTCATAAATCATAAATCATCATTTGTCATAAATGCTTAACGTTTCTAGATCCGTATTTGATTCCACACACATTAGGGATTTTAAAATTAGACCTTTCTCACATTATGAAACTGATTGTAGGCCTATAATTATGGTGTTGTTGGATAAAGTTGAACGTGGATAAATCCTTGGTAAAAAATTTTATTTTTGCAAACCCTACGTGATTCACACATGTTTATTGATATGGACTGTTAGACTTCTTATCTTACACACAAAGTATGTTTTGGGTGAGTTTTACGTCCGGTTAAAGTTATAATTGTGTCATTTGGATAAACGTTTTTCTCCTATATTTACTCTAAATTCACCGTGTTACTCTTCGGTTGTAATATTATACGTCTAGCCATAGTTTATAATCAAATTATTCTATTTTAAGATTATTTTTAAAAGTGGTGAATTAATAACAAATAGTCTGCAGTCATTGAAATTCACTGTGACGTGTGCTAGAAAAATACTGTACCTTAAAATTGTCTTTTGGTGATGTTTGGAGTCTTTAGGAAGGCAGTGATCACAGAGTATGTTTAATCACAAAATAAAAGAGAATATCTCCATAAAAAGAGAATTCAATGCAGAAAATGATCATTTACCTTTTCAAGGTATTATTGGTTTGGTCAAATTATTAGATAAATAGAACAACTTATTTTAAATATTTTTTTAATTTTAAATGTACACCATAATTGTTATGTTGTTAACAATCTGACTGTGGTTAAACATTCAACTGAAGGGACAGCTGTTAAGTTGCAATTCACATTTAAACCGTTATAAAGAATGCTGCCAGCATAACTGGATCATTCAAAATGGACTCTATAAATAAAGTAAAACGTGAAGGGGTGAAGCCCAAAATAAAAATTTTTTTTAATTGCCATTTGCAGATGCACTAGATCATGAGCTTTAAAATAACACCTCAACCGTGAAAATCGGGTAAGTCGGACAAAGGGATGTTACAGGGAAAAATTGTATTGAAATTAAGTAAATAGATTTGGTTTGATAATGTTTTGCAGGTATGTCGAAAGCTGTTAGGTCTTGATAAAAGCCACTAGGCCTTAAAATAATCGAATGAGAACTAATGCAACGTTAAAAGAGGCTTCCAGCCCTGTTAACAATAGGGATATGAAGAAAATACATTTGGATTTAAAAAAGTTTATTACGACAATAGAACATACAATTATAATAGTTATGGATTATTCTTTAAAAAATGCTTATTTACAATAACCACTAAACACCTTTATTTGTAGAAAGATTTCAAAACAAAATTTAAGAGTCCATAAAGAATATATTGCAAAAATCAATGCAGGGTTTGAAATGGAATGCGTTGTCTATTTTAATAATACTGCTTACACCAACAACACAAATTTCTTATAAAATTACTTTGAATTTATTTTTCAATTAAAACTGTTGTAACTACTGTGCTAGATCGGCCACCTTTAACTTCTTTAACGGCCTGGTAGAATTGGCAATGTCGCAAGTAGTGTCGTCTAGTGCCTGACGTCCCATTAGATAACATGGCAGTCAGGTGACACCATCTTCTTGATTCGCTTATAATTCATTAAAATTTAAATTTATGGACATAAATTTATTAAAATATCAAAAATAAATCATACATAATTTAAAACCAAAACAATGTAAATTGAAAATCGATTTCTTCTATACATTTAAAGAGTGGAATCAATAATTCCATAGTCCAGTAACCAAGCTTTCGTATTCTTAAAAATACACAAATACCATTAGCTGCCTCCAAACAAAACAGCTGTTACAACACTACTTGCGACGTTGCCACTTCGAAGGCCGTGGCCTAGAGTTATAGGTGGCCGTGGCTAGATACACACTAATCTTGGTCATTCATATAATGTCAAACTTATTATGTACACATATAATCATAATATCACTATAACAGTATAATGGTTACAAATAAATAACGGTATGTACAGCTTAAGATTAAATATAACTTAACTTACAGCAACATTTTTGTACATCTACACTATTCTACGCTCACTATCACATAAATGCATCCATACTACACAAGATAACAAAAATTTTATACTCTAGACAGTTTTTCATTTCTTACTTTGACATCATAGAACATATGTAGAATCACAGTATGTTTTCATTTGGCTTTGAAATTGGCACTTAGTCTCTAAAAACTAACACTGCAATCATGACACGAAATCATTATGACAAGAGGTTTTAAGCATTGGCTAATACATATTGTTAAAGTATTCAAATGATGTTCTAGTCTAAAAATCAAATTTTAAAAATGATAGATATTCTAGTTTTTACTTTTGATTGTATGTTACTTTGCAATATTTTGATCTATTGTTTGTAAATTTTCCATCTTTATACTAATTATATCGTGGTAATTAAAACTGACTCCAAGGAACCTAAATCGTTAGAGAATTAGAGAAAGTTAATTTTTTCTAAAATAAAATTGTAAATGTTTACATATTTGGTACCTACCCATAATTATAGAGCCATTAGATTGTGCAAATAAAAATACATTGAGAAATTAATAAAAGGGGGAGTTAACAAATGTTAAGTTTGATTATCAAGGAATTAAAAAACGGGAACCCCTTCGTTAGACAACTCAAATTTAGTTAACAAAATACTGAATTTTGATCTCAGCTTAAGCATTTTTTAAAGCTTAAAAGCACATTGATATCATTCACATTTTAGAGTTTATTTTGGTTGACCAAGTTGAGCTAATTAGCCTATGATAAACCCCACTTTATGATTTATGTCGTTTACACACTGAGTAAAATTACATTTCTAACACACTTCTTATACTTAGAAACTATTATATGATGCAAAATGCACAATGACTATGATGTGGTTTTTTACATTTAACTACCGTATGTTGCCTTTGTACATAAACGTTCGTAATGTTCGTGCACTCATCAGAGTAAATGAGCTTTTTCCGTGTAGATGATTCAGCACATCTCCATGCTCAGAGTTTTCCCAAGTCAGCGTTAGCATCCCTGTAACAACGGTGAGTGATGAAAACAGTACCTAAATATAATTTTTTAGTAAATCTGTATTGGTGTAGCCTTTACGTTGGACATTCATGACGTCGCATTCATGCGGATCAATCAAACTATTTTATGGGACTTGATATTTAAAATTTGAATGTGTGGTTTTAAAGCCCCTTTCCCATTTTTTCTGAAGGAACTCGGACACTAAATTGCTGCTACTCATTGATAAACAGAAAAACTCAATCACAATTAATTTGGTAACATCTGAGATATTTTAAATTGTTTAACCTATTAAGTATGATGACGTTTGCGTGCATTTATTGATCAATAACCGTAGACAACGTACCTACTTTGACAACAATTGCATTTTGATTGGCAAAGGCAGATGCGGAGCTTGACAACGTTAAATAATGTGATAACGTTAGCTTGATAACGTTAAAGGTAAGTTCTCAGTTCTTTTGTCCATTTCATCTGATTGCCTTGGCCGGACTTGTAAAACCAACTGGAAAGCCGAGTGATTGAACCTTCAAAACTGGAGGTTACTAGTTTGATCCCGATCAAGGGTCGATTTTGGACCCAATGCAACATAATTTAGGACCGTCCGTTGATTATTCTAGCGGACAGAATAATCTAAGAGAAAATAGTGTCAAAACATCTGTCAGCCGTAGAAAGTTCTAACGTTTCTTTAATTTGTATTCAAATACCACGCCCTTTTACCAGGCTTGGGAAAATCTTTATAATTTTACACCAAAACCATTCACTTTTACTACGGGATAACTCCCATCGAAGTATATACAGAATTTGACAACATTAATTCAGATATCAAAATCTGCAAGACTCTTTCCTAACAAATAAAGTCCATATCACACTCGGGAGGTTTAAAAGGAACTTAAAGTCCTGTCCCAAGAAAGTGGTATCATTGCTTCTCACATGCTTTGTATTAAAAAGGTTACGTTTAGTTAATATTTTTGAAAGTCTTTTATTGTCTTATTCAGCGTCATTGACAATTCTCTAATTTTTCTACAAAAATCTCCACTATAAAATGATATTACTTTTAATATCAAAGGTACTTAAACTTCTAGCTCGATAGCCCAAAAAAACACCCTAAATAGGGACTGAACCAGCAACCTTCAGGTTTGAAGGTGATCACTACAACCTCTCGATTAACTAAAATTCGGACATTTCTTGTGCAGTGAACACCTTAAATTTGGTTGAATTAGCCATCACTTGCAACAAACCTAAAAAATCCAAACCACCAGATTTTGGAAGTAGAAGAACAATCAGATACCTATACTACATGAGGGTCGGAGGGAAGTATGATGGAAGCCCGCGGTTTGTGCAGGTTGTGCAGATGGTTGATCTCCACATCTTGGGCATCTTGAGCTTCACTCTTGCGCCTCACTAGAGCGGCGACTTGCCTCTTCTGCAGCTGGGCAAGCAGCTTCTTCTTGCGCTTCGTCTGTGTACAAATCATACTGATTAGTAGTTCGTATACGTGTAAAATCTTAAAATTGAGTGTAGTGGAACAGAACTAATCAAAGCATAGTTTACGTCCCTGATGTTTTCAGTTAATGGATTTACTAGAGATTGCACTATAATTATTTACTTTATTACCAAGATTTTTATGAAAATATCGGTAATAAATCTTAAGGTTTCATGATGTTACTAATCTATATATATAAAAGGCATCAAGTTATAAAGTTATAAAATACGTTTAATCGAAAATAAATTTCAGAAAACAGTGAAAAATATATTAAATCAAATTTGAAACTCCCCCAAATTTGCTATACCATTGTATGGTACTTATTCAATCTCCCTTCAAAATAGTTTAGTTTAATTAACATTTTTAGAACCTTTTCTTGTCAATTAAATTGAAATATTTGGAGGTTAATTAACTACCCCTAAATATTATTTACTTCATGGTCCAAGCTGAAATTAACAGATTGTACAAATATTACTATAATATTACTGACAACTATCTCAGTGCAATCATCTTAGGGAGAGTATAGAATTTCATAGTAGCTTGCTCTATGGGATTCTCTTTGACCTGTCTTCTACTTAAATAAAAATCTTCTACAGCTGGCCTATGGATGCGATGTCAACTTCGGCATCCTAAAGCCAATGGTCAAAGACTAGCCAATTCTCAGGATACACGTTCAGATAGCACTCATTGACTGCATCATAGACTAACCAACACCTGCATGTACTATAAAACAAACTCCCTTATATGGATTAGCTAAAGACAATTTTATTGTCAGTTCCTTCATGTGAACTGTAGAGGTCGTGTTTTGTGAAAAATTTGTTTCTTGTTATTTCAGTCATTTAAAGCCTCGTTTGAACAAATAAAACGATTTAATCATATTCAATACATTCTCCCCTGGCTATATAACCAAACAGTAAAGCACCATGAAATTAACCTTAAATTTAAACAAAATTCGTCGGCTCTCCGGTGATGCTAGCAATCAGTGTCACAGGGCATGAACTAGACACGAAAAACGAGCTTCAATATTTACAATGGATGAGGAGTCTACTCGTGTTGGTTAGTCTATGGTACTGTGTTGAAGCCCTCGCTTCTGAGTTCTAACCCACCTGGAAGAACAGCCTGAGGTAGTAGCAGGGGAAGTCGACGCACTGCGCACCTTGCTCCTCGGCGTCGATGTAAACTCCGCGGACGAGGATGGAGTTGGAGGAGTTGATGAAGATGAGCAACACAAACGACACGACGTGAGAGACCCAGTAGCTCTTCACTGGCGTATCTGTGACACCACATTGGCATTAGATCAGTGGTGGACAAGAGGCTTCAATATGATTAAGATTTAAGGGAAAAAGTAAATTTCGTCTGACAGAATTATCCAGACAAAGAAATCCAGGTAGACTTCGTTAGTGGGAAAGCTGCTACTCGTCTTACTTTTCCAGGAAAATTTGTTCTCTTGTGAATCACAATGCACTTTGAGATAGGTTGTTTTGGTGGCAACTTGCTATGTTAGTGCTAGTTTCAGTTTCTAGGATTCAAACACTTTGAGGCCAACTAGGAGTCAAAAACAGTTACTTTGTTTGATAATGTCCAGCAAATTCTTTTATAACGAGGACACAAGACTATTACATAAAACACAAAAAAAAAACACCTAATACATGGACATGAGCAAAGAACCTAAAATTAAACATAAGTTCTTTCGTTCAGCTTGAGCAAAACCTTGTTGGGAAGTGCCTTTGAATAGACGATTTCGAGACAATATTTGAGTATATTTCGGAATCTAGTAACTTAAGTTTTTAAAAATGCATGTAAGGGTACACCGAAGAGACAGCTTACGAAGTGGTATGGCAAAACAAGTTTACTACAATTATTTAACACAAATAGAACAGTTTCCTGAGCGTCTCATACAATTTTTTTTCTTTAATAATCTTCAGTGATGATTATAAGATTGCAATCTACAGAAAACTCTCAGAGCAATGTTAAAAAAAATGTATATTACTAAGAAATGAGTCCCTTAATGGTTGTGGTGAAATGGAAATCACTGATCCTCATTTCATTCGTCCATAACTTGGGAGAACGCTGAAAGAAGCAATCTGTTCAAAACGATAATGTTCCGTGCTTGCCGTTCCGTAGATAGTTTGAAATAACTATTTTATTCTCTGTTCAACTAGGGCAGGCGGGTAAGAGATTAAGGTTCCCAATAATAATTACTAAACTTGTTAAAGTTAGTTTAACAGCAGTTAAATGTCAACAAAACAAACTACACTATAGCTTTGTCTTATCAGCCAAGGAAGAATTGAAATAGCTCAAATCTCTGCAATTAATAATACGATAGAAAAAAATACTCCCACTTTTCACATTTTGAAACAGTGGATGGTTGATTTCAGCGTCACATCATTATGGAACTCGTAATCAGGCATTAAGGAAACAACTTACCAGGCAAAAAATATATGTTGAGCATGTTCCACACTCCTCTCCAGACATTGACGGTGCCGCAGAAAGAGAAGATGAGGTAGATGTCGACAGCCACGAGTCTCCAGAATCCGTCAATCCTGGACACCAAGGCCTTCATGAGAGGTTGGGTAGCGAACGTCACGAACACCAACATGTAGCCGAGAACCTATCATAAACAACATCAACCATAAGACACTATTGGTGTTTAAAAAGTTAGATTATACACAATTCTTCAAAAGTATTGAGGATCCGTAAGAAATAACAAGTGCACGGGGAAGTATTAAATGAATTATAATGAAGAGTACAACACTTAGCATATTGTAAAGATTCTTCTTGAAATTCTCAAGTACCATATTATGTCGTAGTTTGTTTGCCGATCGGTGTTGGTCTAAATACTTTTAAGCTATCACTTACGTTGCATCGATTCAGAGTAGACCTAAATCAAAAACCAATGGCGAAATAATTTAGGTGATTTTTAAGACAAAGTTTTCGACATGATCATCATACATAAATCATCTACCATAAATTTAATTTGTTAATCTTACCCACCACACTCTCTCAAGCTATGGAGACGCTCTTTAAAATATTTACTCTGCTAACTGTACACACCACTCAAAAGGATTTGAGCGAACTGGTTCATGAAGCAAAATAAGTGTTCTCACAGTTTCCCGTGCACAAGTGACATGTAAGATTAGTTTTACGATTTTGACGGTATTAGCCGAAAGCGGGATTTTCATTTCTTACTGCAGACAATGCTACTACTTTACTCGTCGGCTAGCATCTTGTAAACTTGCCACGTGTAATTGAGCCTTCAAAGTCAATGCTACACACAGAGATTATCCACTTCTTTCTTCTACCTTACCCAGACCAATGACCAAGAACTAGGTCCAACCATAGGTGTCAAATCGTCTCAAAGCTTATGTCTTCAAACAATATGACAATACAGTCATCCACACTGTCCTACCATAGTGTAAATTAAACGCACCAACTATCTAACTCATATAGACCATAGAGAAACAATCAAGATTATCTACACTACGTCACAACTCTTGAAAAGTTCGGAAACCCCTTCGGCAATGATCTCATTTTGAAGTGGATCGTCTTCGATGTCAAGGCTCGTCTAGGATGTATGTGGGAGGATCAATGTCAGTGCAAAGGTCGGGGAGATTCTGTAAAACAGGACAACGAGCGTTGAGTGGCGCTTTGTTGTGGAATTGGCGACATCCTCCCGACTCACAGGGCCGCTGCCCACTGTGTACCTCAACCCGTGGTCTGTTGAGGATATAGTCCTGAAACCCTGAACCAGCTGACACCCTACTGGACTGGAACATCACGACGAGAGAATCTGTCCTGAGCTTCGTTGCGGGAGTCCATGAAATGTACAGTAGACACATGACATTAGTGACTTACTCTACAGGATAGCATATGCAAATATAACAATGCCGATGGGGATGAAACGGGGCCATGTAAACCCTAAATACGAATGAAGGATGAATATAGAATATAACGAGATACCTTGATTAACTCATTATTGACTAAGATTAGTGGTTTCTTTAGTCAGAACTATTTATTAAAAGCCTAATGATCAATGGCCAACTGGGACCAGTTTCAAACAATCAAACCAGTTAAAAAAGCTATTGCATTTTACATTTGCATTTTTTTATCACTATAACCACTCACCTACCAGGTGTATTGTTATGTAAGCCTTCCATCACGAAAAAATCTGGTATTGATTTTGTAAAACTCATAGTCACAGATTCTGGACGAAAAGCCAAAAAATAACTTACTACAAACATCTGTAGACCACCTGTGCAGAAAGTAAAAAAAAAAAAAAAAAAAAAAAAAAAAAAAAATAGGGTAGCCAAGCAAGTTAATTTTAGAACATAACATGAATATTTTAGGGTTTAATAGACAAAATAACATCAAGGTTTAATGAGAAACTACGTTATCAAACCTGAAGTCCGATACGTAATCGAGCCTTTAAAAAACCTTCTTCAAAATGTTGTCCAGTTTGTTTTCAGAGATAACCCTACAGCAGGTAGAGAAAATTTGTGAAATTCGTGTTTTTTTTAATACGATGAACCAATGCACTCATAATATTTCATAATCATCGTTCTACCGCATTACATTGTGATCATTGTTTGCAAGTGTCACAGTGTTTTCGGATGCACAGAAAACGACGCGTGTTTCAAACGACGCGGTACGTTTATGACGTTAATGGGTCATTGCGAAACATGGCAAACCTGCAGACCGTTTGTTCTATTAATCATCTTCGTTTCAACCAATCAACCACTCTAGTCTTCCTGGCGCATGTCTCGACTGGTCCATTAGCTATTTATGTAATTGATTGATACTTTCTAGGTGAAGAAATGCACTTGCAGTTCAGTAGATTCATACGAGAATCAACTTAAAGACCGGTATTTGGATAAGTGAATGTTCTATTTTAAGGTACTAGCTGCTATACCCATGATTCGAAAAGGGAAGGGGACGCAAAAGTGAATGATAAGATTCTCTAGATTTGCTATATGACATGATTATACTTCCATGTAACATTTTATACGCAAAACTTAAGTTTAATAGAATAAGAACACATAGAATTATTTCCTTTCAATTCAGGAAAGGGGATTACATTTCCTAGACAGCCTGGAAATTTAACAACGGAATTATTAGTAGTCGGTGTAGCCATAAGTGGTGATGATGCTTGTTTAAAAATACTGTAACTGTATGATTGCATTTGTCAAGATAAACTTAAAAGTGTCAATGTACTTGTTTTTAAAACATTTAAGTGATGTTTACTTACTTTTGAGGTGGTACTTGCTTGGAACTTACTTGTTAAGTATTGTCAAGTAATACTGCAACTATGTGGTTAAACTAAATTGTTTAGACCCAATTACTTTTTTATTTGAAGTCAATAGATTCAAATGAATCTAAGAACATATGGCAGTGTAGCAATAAAGTCTATGACTTGATAATGATAATTCAACTTTAAGATGTTTCACCTGAATTATTTTAATTTAAGTCACTGTAGCTAATTTTATTAATTACTCAGAAAATTCGGTACTAGGAAATTCCTAAAACCATTTACTACCTTCCGTTAATCAAGCATAGCACTCCTGTTAAATAACTTGCAAATCTTCTCTAAAGAAATACAGCGTTTTCTTTAAGTAAGTACCGAAAATTAGTAATAGGCTAAACGGGTCAAAATAAACAGAAAATCAAGGTTAAACACTTTAAAAAAACCCTCATTAGCATGAAATCCACTTTTTTTAATTACTAATATTTATAAAACTCTTCAAGATGTCTTAATGGAATCGGTACATATATTGGTATTGTAGTAAACTATTTGCGGAAAAATAATCAATTCGGTATTATGTTTTGCACAAAAATGGCTGCCATTTACGTTTTTAAATTAAAGTAAAAAAATGGCCGATTTTATGAAAGAATTGTAAACAAAGCAAAAATAATTCTTTGAAAAGAAAAGACAGTTCCTGTGCTTTGTTTGCTAGGAAAAGAGGCAATGAGGAATATCTTATGAAATATGTGTATATTAATTTTTGAAGACATCTAGTCTTTAGGAAACCACCCTCTGTACTCACCAGTGAGCCCCAGGCGGAGAGGTCGGGTCGGTCGGGGAAGAGGTAGTTGTCCAGAAGACACCAGAAGCCTCGCCACACGAACACTACCAGAGTTCCGATTATGAATACGCTGAAGAAGCAATCCAGCACGTAAAGCCAAGTCTCTCTCGTGCCCTGGGAAATAACCACGTGTGAAAAACAAATAATCTTGTTTTAGGATTATTACTATTATTAAGAAATTATTATAATTTCTAAATGGGATGACCTACAACCTGCAAATAGCTGAGATCAGTGGTTATAGTTCTACAATCAGCTGTTTAGATCACGAGAAAGCAGCTTTTCCATAGTTAGAAGCTGGACCCAGTGGACCCACTGTATTAAACCTTGGGAAAAGGATATATGGCCCTGGCTCAAAAATACAGCTGATCGTAGTTTGTAGCAATGCCAAACAAATTTCCCTAGTAGCACCAGCACATTCAATTTAATATTCACATTTGGGTTAAAATACGCATTTTTGTCCTAGGACGCTGGGTTCTAGCCCTGGGTTGTTTTTAACATTATTTTAGGCTAAGCTAAGGGACTGAGGAATTACAACTAAGATAAAATCCATTGGTGATTTGGGATTGAACGAACCTCAATCAAAGGGTTAGCCTAAATCACATTCATCATTGTACAGTGCATTTATAAACCTACGTATACCTTTCTCTTATTCTTTCCCGTTGCGAAGCACGGGCAGAATAGGCCTAACTAGTTATTTCAAACACTAATTAAATAGCGGATAAATGTGATAATATGTTAAATAAAATATCCAGGCTTTCTGCCGCGGGGTATTTTGTACGCTACGGTGTTCTTACAATTTCTAGAGATCTAATTGTTTCAGTGTTAGGTAGCAATTGAACTACTGAATTATTGCCTACCTTTAAAATCTAATCCAATGACATAATTAGCAAATAGCAGTATTAGATGCACGGAAAAACCACCACAAAAATAACCAACAACTTAGTAACTGTTTTAACAGGAATTTAATATAACAATAACTAAAATTCATCGAGTTAATCTTTTACCTTTGAATACTTCAGTATCAAATAGTCAATGATTTTACTTCATTATTTAACTTGTTCTGTTGGATATCGGTGATATCGTTCTAACTTTGAAAATCAGAAAATGTAGACAGTAATAGGCATATAAGAATGCCAAAACGAGTGCTTGAAACTCCCTTTCCTGGATTGAATTTGCAAGGCCATACATAATCTGGTTCTACAATATTATTAACTTTTCAATTGATAAATCCACAAAGTTTCTCAAAAGTTGTTATTGTTGCAATAATTTGACTTACCAAAATGTTAAACCTGTTATCAATATTAAGAAAAGAGTTCAATTTATGTTATATTTAGAGCAAACTTTTTTAGCCAAGTAGTGCAGGTCATGAGATAGCCTTTACGGTCAACGATTTGAGAATTGGTCATGGACAAACCATGATGTGCCTGTGGGCGTACAGTTCATTGAAACGATGCTGTATGTTTCTTGGCAGCAAAGCTCTATTGACGAGGTTTTCTGACGTTAAAATGTTCACGAAAAAACCACATAAACCCTAGGGTTTAAGAAATGTGGAAAGGAGAATGAGAATTTTAATTTATTTTAAAATGTCGTGTTCGCAATAGGCTACATGTTATAAATATGTTAGAAAATATAGACAATTTTCTCTACAATAGGATATTTTAGTCTGTTTTCGGAAAGTAATTTGATGAAAAAAATTATGTAGTTTGATGTTCAGGGAGATTATTCAGCTGATAACATTTTAGTTCACCTTTTAGCAATATAGAAAAACATCAGCAAAGATTCAAGTTTACAATTTTGTATTTCATACCTTAGTGTTTTATTTTAGTGCACAACTAAATTCAAAGCGCTCTCATATATTAGAAAATCTAGTTTATTCTTATAATATTTCTAGTTGTTGACGTTTTAAAAACTTTATAAACCTTAATTTAAGCCAATAGTACAAACACGAAAAAATAACTGTTACATTCAAGCTCCCATGAAATTACATTTAGGTTATTACTATAATCTATATAATAATAGGCAAGCATGTTTCCTTAAAACTTTTTTGTCTCAGCTCGTATGCATCGCAGGGAAAATCTACGCATACCGTTGGAAAGATATTTTAATGTAGATGTGCAGAATTCATTTATAAATAAGCTCAAAAATAAGCACAAAAAATGAATTTAAAATTTAAAACATTTCACATGGGCCTTATGTTTTGCCATGTTAGTGACGAAATAACAACGAAATATGAACAGAAAATAAAAACAAATGGAAGAAATTACAATCACATGTTTTATTTACAGTGTGGAATGGAAATAGAGAATTCAGTACATTTACATATTTTTGGTAGAGTTTTTGCCCACTGGACGACCTCTAGTTTGTATTATTATAATCGGCAACAAAAGATAGTTGATGTAATTACATACAAGCAATATCTACAATACCTACAATACCTACAAGTAACATATTAAACTAACGTTATAGTTGATAGTTTTTAACTCAACTTACTCAATTACACCTTGCAATGTTAAAAACATATTTGACAAAATTCAAACTAATCTTAATTTTTTATTGGGCAACAACTTGTAAAGAAATTTCAAAATTTGGTCAATATACGAATGAAAATTGAAAATGTATTTTGCACAAATTACCCATCAAAAATATCTTCAATCGTCAAACAAAATAATTAATTGAAATCGTAAGACATTTATCTTACTTTTATAAATTTAAATGGGTTCTGCAAAAGCAATTTTTTAGGTTATTTACGTACACCATCCAATTTACCCCAAACAAACATTTATTATCCTGTTATTATTATCATTATTGTTGTTGTATACTATTTTCATGTTTGGGTTATTTTGATATATGTTTGCTTTTACTTGTATTGTATTTTTATTTTACACCTCTGTTCAAGCTATCATCTAAAGTGTACGAATTATGTATATAATTTACAGAACAGAACTCAGTTGTGGAAATGAATCAACTTAGATGTGATTGAAACAATAGTAAATATGTGTATTTTAATTAAAGGTTTTAATTATATTTGAGTTTAAAACGCGTATTTGGATTTATATAGCAAGATGATGTATGTTTATTTGATACATGCTTAGTAAAGTTACAAGAAATAAAATTAAATTTCGTTCACTCATGCTTGGATTCAAATATAATCTAGACTAGTGGCCTGTAGGGACATAAAATCCTAAAAAGCTCAATAATATCAAACAAATTATTCTAATATTTGAACAAACTAAGAAATATATTATCTATGTGTCAGAATAGATATCCCTGTACGCCATATCTTTTGGGTAAAAAAAAAAACAGTTTGTTGTTTGTCTTTGTTTGCTTTTGTTGGCGTTATTCTCAATCAATCATTTGAATTACTACATAGGTTTAACTCTACTAAAGGTAGCAAACATATAATTGTTTGTGAATAAATACTGGTTTATTAAGGTAGCTTTGGTCTTGTGGTTGATGGTGATAAAAAAAGAGTTCCCTGATTGCAATTTTGGAAATTGTCTTCGTCAAATATGAAAAGGCAAATAAAGGTGCGTTGAGGTAAGCTTAGTTCTTGGCCAAACCCGCTAAATTAGCATCCCTACCCAGTTAGCATTTCTAAGTTTATACTCCTTTTGTTAAGTTTTAACAACATTAGTGTAAAATAAAGGCATCCCATTGACCAAACTTAACCTTAGCCATTTTCTGATCAACATTAAAAACCTACAATTAGTTTAAGTTAATGTGGTGGTATTCCTCAAGGTGCGATTGGCGTTACATATTCTATCAAAGCCTAGCCTATAAACATCGGCTGATTCTTAACTCTTTTGCGAGCAACTGACAGTACCTGTTTAAAATCTCCAAACAATATTGTTTTTCCTCCCATTGGAACTTGTCATAGTACCTACTTAATTAACAAATATATATATTTCCTGTACGAACCTATTCTATCTTTATTCCCAGGTTATTTCCTAAGAGTAGCCATTGAGGTTATTCCACTTCATAAAACATATTGATTAAACATTACAATAAATCTCAAATGTAAAATAAAGAAAGTGTAGAATAAATCTAGAACATATGTCTTAAAATAATACCCCCGCCGCAGCGAACCTGCAGACTAAGCGAATTTCCATTTGCTTTACAGTCTACTTAAAAATATAACATTTATTCCCGATTTAAATAGAATTAGTTTAACAAGTACTTAGGTTTGCTGCATCAGGGAGGTAAAACTGTTTTTTTTATGTTAATAGTTAGTAAGAAATAAAAACATTTTTCAAATTTGATCAAAATATGTTCATAAACAAGCAAACTACAACAGTTTACTTATTCTCCATAAGAATAACATGGGAATTTTAAATTCACAATTTTTTGGAATTTTCTCCGTAACCATTAGGCGCATAATAACGCTTCAATATACTAAATTATTTGTTTTTTTAAGCTCTACAAAATGGTTTGGAAAGAAATTGCTAAATTTTATGTTTTTTGGGTCAAAATGCGAAAAACCTATTTTTACCCCATAAAACCCCCCGTAAACCCCCGTTCCCATGGTCCGATCATGCTGGATCGCGAACTAGTTCGAATAAACGTAGGTTTACACGTTTGTACCGAATTTCATCAAAATCGGATCATTTTTGCTCGAGTTATCGTGCTAACGGACATATATATATATACAGGGTGATCAACTCAAGGAGGCCACCATTGGGATATCGGAAACGGTAAGAATTAGAGGAAACTTTAAACGGGGGACATTCCTTTATTTTTTGTGGCAGTTAAAAATATGATTTTATTTTTTCGAAATTCAGCCGCCATTTTCCAAAATGGCCGCCAACTTTGAAATTTCTTATGAAACACCCTATATTTTATCATGTTTTCGGATAGAACAGGCAATTTAAAAACTTTTTTATTCTTGACATTTTTTCGATAAACCCACTCGTTTGGGAGTTACAGCCTATGGAAAAATGACTTCCGGTGTACCTTTTACATCATGTAGCTCCTAAACAAGTAGGTTTATAGCGAAAATGTGAAAAGTAAATAAGTCAAATAAGTCTTAAAATTGCATCCACATTCCAAAAAGACTATAAAATTCGTTAAAACTATTAATTCTATTATTTCAAAAATTGCGGCCATTTTCCAAAATG